AAGTATATCTTCTAATTATTCCTCCTTACAGGAGAAAGTAATTCTTATAATAAGAAAAAGAGCTGACATTTTTGAAATTAGGTTGTTTGGTGGTTTGGTTTTTTTAAAACATAGTCTGTGGAATAAATTATTATAATAATATAATATATGCTATAACTGTATGAAAACTTTTATATATACACAAGCAAAAGGAAAAGATTCAAATTGGGGAAAAAATGGGTTTGAAGGTAGTTTGCTGGCTCTTTTCGAACAGGTGTTGTAGTCTGCACTTAGCTTTAGGCATCACATTTCACCTCCTTCAGGATGCATTTCTCTGCAGGGTCATTATTCAGCCATTAAAGAGAGAGAGAGACCCTCCTGCAGAGGATGATTCAGATCACCGAAGCCAAGCTCCTGCTCTGAATTATCCTTGAATAGTTTGTGTCTCTGCATGTACTCTGTTCAGAGTTGGAGATGATTACCCTTCGAATGTAGGAACCCGAGTTACATGCATAAAAGCAGCTGGTGTGACTGCCCTCCAAGATTTGTATTACAGTCCTATTATGATGCTTTCCAAATTCTAGGCTATCTTAAGAAATTAGAAGGATCTGGTTCTCTGTGGGAAGAGTCATTTAGCCACCAGACACACATTAAAAGTGTCTCTTCTTATCATGCCTTCATAAGCACGACTTTAGCAAATGTAATTATGAACGCATCAGCACTTGAATTCCAAGTCTTTTCCTGTTTCATTCCACAACGAAAAATTAATTTTCAAGGAACACATTTTTGAGCAAATATTTGCTAGTGAAACACAAATCTGATTTCTTTTTCCAAATCAATTTCTATGATATTTGTACAGATGTTTTTATAAGGGCTGATACAGAAATAGGTTCAAAAGAAACAGATAAAGCGTGTGCAAGATGAGAAAAGTGTTGTGTAATGCTTTGACTCAAAATACAGACTTTCTTGCAGATTTACTCTCTGTTCTTACTTTACTTCATTAATAAAATATTTTGGCATGATTAGATTTTCTTCCCCCTTCTCTCTCCACACCTTTCAAGTATTAAATGTCTTCCTTCCTCACTTTCCCTGCAAAGTGAAGGAGCAGTTTGTGTTCAGGTCTGTTTTAAGCCTCTGAACCTGCACATCAGATAAACCTAACTAGTTCCTCAGTGGATGAAAGATTGGGGAGAAATTACTAATAAAGTTCTTACTGACTCAACGTGGCTTCAACATAACAGGAACCCCAACAGTCTCTTCCATTTTATATATGGAGACATGTGCAAGGCTTTTTTCTGTGCTGTCACTATCAAATTATGGTGATGATACTGGTGTAAAGGAAAAAGGTTCAAATCAAAAGATTTACATTATTTAACACAAAAAGAGCTTTACCCTTTAAACATGAAACATTCTCCATAAATATTAAACATAGGCTATTAAGCATAGACTTTCTTTTGATTGTTAAACCAGCAATAAAGTTCCATAAAAACCCTTACTCTGTCCCTGAGAGTTGGCTCCCATGTTGCCAGTGACACAAATGACGGCCTAAGCCAGCAGGTGTTCAGAAATGCTTATTGTAATAGAAACTTTAGGGACTCGCAGTGGAGCTCGCCTAAAAGACAAGACCATTTTCATTACTTTGTCAGCAACTTTTTTTATTTCCCACTGCAGCCACGGAAGCTGTTTTGCTAGAGGTTTTTCTCCCTTGCAACTGAATCTTGGCGTATGCAGTAAAACATCTTGGTGGAATATTTCAGTATTTGAAAGACTTTGTTGTGAATGTTTATGCACCCTTTGTTTGCTGTGAATGTTCAGTTCCTGAGACTTACTGGCAAGAACATTCACTGAAAATGAATTTCAAAGATGCACGCACACGTCACCATGGAAACTGAACGTTGAACTCAAACAGAAGACCTGCTGCTGAGATGATTGTGTGCTTCATCCAGTTTGGGCATGGAAGCAGTGTCATGTGAATTATCTGAATAGTCACAGAGCAACTGCAGTGGTTGTGATTGGCAGAAGCTTCTTTGCCCTTGACCTAGTGAGGGTAAGAATACTTCATGACTGTGAAATGATCTTAAATTACAGCAGCTGAAAGAAGTATAATTTGCTCGTGCACATTCTATTAATAGAAAAGAAAGCTAAATTGGACATAAATTTTTTTTTGCCCTGAATTATTTGCTCAACTCAACCTCTGTCTTCAATCCTCTGTCTTCACTTGTTGATATGTTTGTTAATCCTTTGCCTGTGACCTCACAAGTCAATGACTGGTGAGGACACGTGCTTGGCTTTACAACTTCATTTCAAGATTATGTTTGAGAATTGTGAAAGGGAAAACATTCATTTACTGCTTGTGGAAAATAACGGGCTTTTTGAATTTACCTCTGGTATGGTGGATGAGAAGCTAGTTTCACTTTGCAAGATATTAGTTGAGATATTATTATGCACTATGAAAAAAAATGCTGCAGTGAACCAAAAGTTTCATCTTTTTATGGCTCTTTAGATGACAGTCACATGTTCTGTGGCAGTCACCATAAGGTTAGACACTTCACAAACATCTATATTAGGTAAGCAGACTGTAGCTTTATAAGAATATTCACTGTTTGGTAAACTGAACCAGTGTAATTAGTTGATATCGATCATATAATTCAAAAAGTAGAAAAGTTTTTTTGACTTAACCTGATGTATTGCTCTTTGCAGTTCCTTTAATTCATAGTTTCCATCAATCCATGCGCATACTGCATTCCCCAAATTACTAGGTCTAGCAAAATTTTCTGTGTCACTTCATTCCTACAACCCTTTGTAGTTTTTGGCTATTTTGTCAGAGAAGCCATATAGTTATTTATTCAGCATCATAGTTCTGTAGTGGAAACTTCCCTCAGGGTTAAAGTGCTTTCTTTTTTAATTCCAGCTAGGTGAAGTGATAGGAAAAGCTCCCCATTTTTTTTAACTCCCCCCCTTCTTTGGGGAGGCAGTAGCCTGTACTGTACAGCCCCTAGGCCACCCCAGAGAAGTGGGTGAAAGAACTGAAATGGGAAATGTGCCCACCTTCCATGAAATGGCACCTTTCATCCTGGCTATATGGTACATGCTTTCTCACAGGCTTCAGCATTCATCTGGGGGCCACAAAACGGGGCTATCGCGAAAGGACGTGGGGTCAGGCAGACTGTAGGCACAACAGGAGAGTGATTACGCCCTTGCCATCAAAAAGAGAAATGAATCCTTTAGTGTCCAGTTAATCGTTACAACAGTTTGTACCCTTCAGATCCTTTTTGTAAGATGATTTTAAAGATACAATAAATACTAGTTCTGAGTGCACAAAATCCAAATTGTGACAATTTCTGGGAATAAAATTAATATTTTTTTCTGTCCTTCAGGGTTTGATTTATTCATAACTCCTTTGAGAAGTTCATGCAGTACAATTTTGGTGTTATTGTCTGTTAAAGATTTTCCCTCCTTTCCTTTTATTGGCCCCATTTCTCCCACACACAAATCCACAAAGCCACAGATGCTCCATTACAATGATGTCAGTCTTGCTACATGCTCCAGCTGTTTGGTAGGTACATTTATAAAGTTCAGCCTTTTACATTATGCCATAAATGTATATTTCATGTATAAACATAAAGCTAACATATTGCAGATCACTCTAAGTGTAATTTTAATGGAGGTTCAGTAAGTTTGAAAAATACTGAAAAGTGTTTAATCTTTCCATTGGCAACATTTTAAAGTTTTCCAATTTTTTTTTTTTTTTTTTTTTTTTTTTTGTGTGTGAAGCTAGGTTTGAATATTCCCTGCCCTCTCTGCTATTTCATCTCCTGTGATCTTTGGAAAAAGCAGGGAGTTATTTTAGTAAGACAATATGTATTTTAAATAAAGATGTCTGAGGAAAAATATGTTTCTCTCCACATCATCTTAGTGCTCAAACCCTCACTTAATGTTCTGTACATTTACCAGCATACCGCACTGAAAAACACCTCATTCCTGGAATTGCCAGATTTCAATGATATTCAATATGGCAGATATTCTGTTGATACGATATATAAATTCTGACAGATTGTTTTAAAAATTTATCAAGAATTGGGTCTGAGCCTTAAAGCCTTTCTTTGTATTGTGTCCTGAATTTCAAAGAAAAGGCTAAGCAGTGCCTATTTGGCTCTGCCTACTCCCCTTTTTCTCTTTGGTATGTGCTTAAGAGTTCAGCTCATTGTAAGTATGTGGATCATTGAATAGTGCCCACAGGATCCTTTCCTGGTCTCCCCTGGGTGCTTTCCTTCTTACAAACAATGTCTTTATTTCTTGCTCTCCTTTTGAGTTGCCTAGTTTGTCTTAATTTGAATGTGGTGCTGAGTTATCACCATATTTGTATCATATAGACGTCATTCTAAAATAAATCTCCTCGCTTAGGAAGATTTTGAGGCTTAATCTCTGTTTTGTTGGCTCAGTAATAAAATTACTCTCAAGAGTACAGATGAAAGCTGAGATCTTTCTCAGTAGTTCATGTTGCTTCAAGCAAGACCCAGAGTGAAAAAGGGCCCTAATGTGATTGTAGAGGCTAAGGTTTGGGACCGTGAGTTACCGCTATGCGGCTGTAGGAGAACCTTCATTATTTTTGCAGATCGGTTTCATGTGTACTTAAAATCTGCAGATCATAGGCATATAGCTAGGTATTCATAATAGAGCAGAGATTCAGTATTGAAATCTGATAAACTCCTTGGTAATTCACTTGTGTCCCAGTCGCAGCATTAGCAATTCAGCAGTATAAGCCTATCTGTTCTGCTTCACTGTGCACTTTTCAGCATCATGTGCATCTTAAAATGGACAACCATATTCTGTGAACTGAGGGAAGCACTGCCCAAGGCCCTCTACTTCTACAAGGTGTGGAGTTATAGTATGATATATGAAGTCAATGATACTTGTGACTATGATACGGGTGGTGTTGACAAGTTCAAAAAACCCTACCAAACCTGTTGCTCAGAAATACGGACAATGTCACCATTATTTGATTTCTTTTTAATTTGCAGGTCTTTTGTTATCCAGCAAATCCCAAGCAGCAATCTCTTCATGGTGGTAGTAGATAATGAGTGTTTCTGTGATTCTGTCCCACCAATTACCATGGCACCTATAGAAATAAGGTATATCCTTTTATTTGCAAAGTTCTCAGAAAGAAATTCAATATGAAAGTATTGAGAAATTTCTTATTATGTAAAACTTGCATTACATGACTGAAGAACGCATCATTGCCCATTATAAAGTGCTGGGGATGTTTGAAACTAAGCCACCTGAGAATGCATTCGTACTTATTTTCAAGGACAATTCCCCTTTTTTTTAACAGCCAACACAAATTAAGCAAACGTACTTATGTACATCTTTAAGTATCGTAAGGTCCTGGTCATCTTTAGATAGCTGAACATCTTTCAGATTAGGCCCTAAGTATGTAATTTCCTTAAAAGAATGAAGCTCCTGATATTGGAACTTAGAAAACTCCTTACAATACATATATCTTTTTATTTTTTGGTTGGAATGGATTATTGAAAATGTTTCAGAATCCTGCTTTCCAAAAATATAAAAATGTAGCAAAGTAAATATATCATTTGATTTTTAGTTGCCTCATTTATTTTGTGTTGTTCTATAGGTCAGGATTTGTTTTCTCACATAAGTTGGAATTTATCAAAAGGAGCCTGCAGTGTGCTTTTATTGCAGACTTATTATGGAAAGGCAGGTTAGAAGTGTAAGTGCAAATGATACTGTGTAAACTACCGATCACTGAAGAGAAAGCACTGGAATTACCTTCTTTTTCATGTGTTTATGACATGTATCACCTTGGGTTTCTGATGGAGAGGAAGGAAGGAACTGAAAGATTTTCACTATATTCATTTCAAAACCCTCACATAAACTCAGGACATTAAAATGCAATGCTCAGAAGATCTCTCCTTAACTACCTTGTACATAATGAATCCCTTAAATGTGAACGTTTAAAATCTCAGAAGATAAGAAGACGCCCAGAATCTTGTCATGGATTTCACCCTGAAGTAAGTTTCTACTTCTACTTAAGTTTTACTTTCTTTAAACTCTAGCAGATGTTTTATTTATTTTAAAAAATAAATAGGAAAACTATCTTCTAAGGTGAAGCATCCAGAAATATTCTGAACATTCAGAACACAGCAGTAGGGGAAGTGAGTGCTACAAATCTTTTTAGTACTCCTGTTGACAATGTCTTGACTTGCTGCTTTTGTAGACTGTTCTGTATCATATAAGAGAATGTGGTAGGATGAGAGCACAGACTGGCAGCCAGGAATATCTGAGAACTTACTCTGGCTCAAGCACTGACCACAAGATTCCTCATTAGAGATGGTTGGGAACTTTGTGCTGTTAATGTTTTTTTCAGTAACTAGCTTCAGTATCTCAACTGTCAGGCTATAGTCGTTATGTTTACACATAGTACTGCTTTGGAGGGATCGCTACACATATTTACTACCCTGTGTTCTGCATGGTACTCTTATTTCTATAGTGCCAAGGAGATCTGGTAGACACCGGGATGCAATTACAGTGGCTTGTATGGCATATGTTCATAGGCATCTGTTTTACTTGGGGAGTAACATGCCTTTGATGGTGTAATGCAATGTAGAACGAGACCTAAAATACAGCATGGAGAGGAATGTCTACTGCTTGTTATCATGCTCATTTTCAGTCTACAATCTAAACTTGTTCAAATGAAAATGTGTACCTGTATTACTTCCTGAGTGTACTTAGTTCATGGGTTTTGTTGTTTGCACCAATCCTCTTCTGCCTATGTAGTTTGGTAAATAGTCATGTATCACAATTGAGTGTAATGACTTGTATTTTTTTCCCCCTTTTTTTTTTCTTTAGGAAAATGCAAGAGAATGTGGTGGTGTCTCAGGCCTTAGTGCTAAACCTCCTCTTGTTCTTCTTCCTCTGCTATTGACGATTTTCTCAAGGTGACATTGACTGATGTGTTCAATTGGCATGCTAATACGTGGATAAACTGTGATCTGGGAAATGGTGCAACATAGAGGACATGAATTATAGTCAGAGTATCAGCATTTCATGATTTTAAACTGTTGGTGATATAAATTCTTAAAGATATGTTGAAAAAAGATTTATCTTTTTACTTTGCAAGTCATGCAGATGTGAATTTGGCATATGGCAGTCATGATTCATCAAAAAAGGACTTGGTAAATAGAGGTGACCATTGCTTTGTCCCATTGAAAACAATTTAAAACTGTGTACTTTTTCAATAAAGTATATTAAAATCACAGTTTCAGAGTGTATTTTAAGTATGATAATATATTTGTTCCATTAATTAATGATGGGAAGAGAATAAAATAAGTGGAAGATGTTTTCTTATGCTTTTAGCTTATTTCTGAAAAGATTCGGAGAAGAAAATGTGGAGTTAGCTTTTATAATAAGGCAGAATAGCTTTTATTAACAAGTCAAGGAAACACATGTGCACGTATGAAGCTAAGCAGGTAATATGCTGTGCTGATTTATAGTGAAGGTTTGGTTTCTGGAAATAGCTATAAACCATCTCAGACACATTTAGAAAGTGAGCCAAAGCCTGATTAAAGCCTTTTCCCTAACTTGGGCAAGCTTTAGATCAAATTGGTTGATTTGCCTGCAGATGGCAAAATTCAATACTTTTCATCTGTAACAATTTGTGGGAAGATATGTAAAATAACCCATATAAAAGGATGATACTGTTCTGTTAGTGTTCTGTCCCTTAGACGTCATGTCATCTAGAAGCTCATTATGAGGAAATTCATAAGAAGAGAAAGTTTGACTCGGACACATCTGCGTCAGCAGACTTCATTATGGTTTTCACTGAGAAATCACTGAGGTTCCCCTCAGGGGGCAAAGATCAAGACCAATTTTTTTTTATTCTAGGCCTTATGTTCTTCTTTTTAAGGGAAACGAGAAGATAAAATAAGATTTTTGAGACTTTTAAAACCCTAAACAAAGAGGGATGTTTATCCTACCCCTAGTATAATGAGTCTTTTCCTCTTGGAAGTGGTAGTAATGGCCCTGTTGTGGATATGTTTGCTGAAGATCTTGGTCTTTGAAGTATTTTAATCTCTCAGTTTCTCTTTGGAGTTTTAGATGAAGTAGAATACTATCAAGAGAATAACGTGACCTTCTAACAACATAAAATGCCCCTGTTTTGGTGCTTGAAGATTGCACTTTCCTGCCTGGGAATAAGTATGCTTTTAGCATTAGATAAACGCTAAGCAGATTTGCTATGTATCCTAGGTGAGAATAGGCAGCGGAGCCACTGAGAGGGGCTTTGTTTTAAGGAATACTATCCAGCTTGTAAGAGGAAGAACTAGGAAAATAAAATTTCCACTTCAATGCTTTAATGGGTTCAAATGCACTGGTACTTCCTCTGGTTGTTCTGAAACCATACAATTCTTTGTCTGGACTCAGGGTTTTCCTTTCCTCACCTTTTTTGGTTAGGAGTGTTTTCCTGCAGACTTCTCTGTCCTTCCTTGTTGGTCTCAAAATCACTCACTATGGGAATAATTTTCCGTCTGACATTCAGTCGATCTGTTGTCCTAGCGACATGCTCTGTTTACTGAGCTAATTGGGAATTCAAGGCATTTTCTACACTTGGACTGACACAGATGTCCCGCAGTTCTTTGCTTGATTTTTCTATAAGCACCATTCCACCTTACCCTCCATTATTCTCTCCAAAATTAATCTCAATACTTTATAAATAAGGTATTTTAGTTTCTGATTTTCCTTATGAGCTTCCAGAATGCACAACAGTATAGCCTCAGAATCCTTTTGTATGTCTGATATTTGTTCTTTCTCAATGCAACTTAAATGGGAAATATTTATAAACAAACACAGTCCAGGTGATTTTTCCTTGTTACAGAAAGTGAAAGGAAAAATCTTTCTCATTAGAGCCATTGAAAAGCTCTGCATACAAATGCCTATCCTGTCTGATGTATAAATCATCATTGCTCTTACAAAGAAAAGAAATACATTAAAGGCGAAAATATATTTCTACTGAACCAAGATGAAAATGTCTAATAATAATTCATTGTTAATTTTGGAAAGAAGTGGACAGTTTTGTAATTAGAAAGAAGCCAGGGAGCAACAAGAGAGATTAAAATATGACAGTCTAAATTAATATTGTGAAAGAGATTAAAATATGGGTATGTAAATGAATATTGCTCAGAGAAATGTGACAGTTCATTTTCGCACATTAAGACAAAATTATAAAGCAGAATGTATTGGTGTACACAAACAAGCTACTATGTAGAACAGAATAATCCAAGTAAGTTACTAAGTGTAAAAACATTTTTTATGAGTTGCCACTTCTTTGCGACTGAAGATGTCTTTTAAATTTTGTATTTATTCCTTTACAACTTTATGATGCAGTGTGGATTCAGGTTCATAAAGTCGATAGTTTAAGAGAGATGGAGATGTTGCCTTGCATTCACCTTTGTGGATCTTTGCCTATGCAGGTCCTCATATTCAACTGAGTGTGTGCAGTCATTGACATTCATGTTTTTCTGGATTTCAAACATGAATCATGAGTGCATCAAACAGATCAACAGTAGGCCAGGGATAATGCTGTGAGATCTCTATTTGTTTGAAGTAATTGGCTGCATCTATACTAGTAAAGTGAGCGTGTCTGGAAACATTTCGTGGCACTGAGGCCAACTGGCTCAGAGTGCCATGCCTATATGCTAGTAACATCTCTTGGTCTCCAAAACGGAGTAGCTGCAATAGGAGCAGCCTATGTCCAAACAGAATTGACGATTATGAGTTTTATGGGATGGAGCTAGCTGACAAAGGCTGAAAGCATGCCAAAGGCTATTTGAAACAGTTTTACAGAAAAGCTGATCTCATTCTAATACATAGGAATGTTTCTGACTGTTGTTAAGTTTACCAGTCTGTATGTCATCATTAGCTCTGAAACTCTGAGGAGGTGTGAAGATGCTGTGAAGTGGGTCTGTGCTGTCATACCATAACCTGTGGAAGGTCATAGAAGGTGTAATTAAATTTCATAACCTCACTAATCATAGGTGCTACTCCTCTCAAATCCTAAAAATATCATGTAAGGTCTGATCTGAAGCCAAATGTAGTCAATAGAAAAATATAGAGGTATACATGTGCATAATCACACCTGCATATATGTAAACTATATGCATTTTTACTAAACAGGAAATTCAGGCGTAATCTATATTTTTTTATCTCCCTAAATCTGAGGTCAAATCCAAGGAGAACCAGGACAGCTTTACAATCTGTTTCTACACAGCAAGAGGTATAGCTGAAAGTTTCAGTTTCTGCAGGGTTTGGCTTTTTTTTTCTTTTTTACTCTCTTTGTTAATGGCATTGATTTTCAACTTATTAGCCCCAGCTGCTCCATCTTCCTTTAATCTTGCTACAGCAAAAGCTGTTTGGGGGCTCAGGACTGGCCGTGGACACATCATCTTCTAATGGCTTTGTGTGGGAAAACTGTCTGCCCGTAACTGTCAGTGCTGCAAACACTCCTTTAAAATCCTGTAAGCCAGAGCGCCTCGGGCAGGTTTCTGCAGCTGTGCTATCTCCTCTCGTTGTTTTTGTGACACTGAGACTGCCTGACCCACTGCATTTTGCTGCCAGGGCGAATTCTGCAATATATATGCTAGGCGAAGCAGGTGGTTGCCTAGGGCAAGAAGATATTAAAAGCAGCAGTGATTGTTTCATTGCCTAAATGGCTTCAAGAGACAGTTTGAGTTTTCTTCTGATAGCGAGAGCCCCAGAACAAGGCACTGGCCTGTTTAGCCCTTTGGCTTCAGAAGGCAAGATAGACGTTTGGCTCAGAAGGTTTGCGGATAGAAGACGCAAGTTATTTCCATTTGTTTCCTGAGCCCTTTATGGCCTCCACGGACTTTTACATCTTGGGAATTTCTGTGCCTCAGAAATTCCGACTGATGCAACTTTAATGTAAATGGGCATTCACAATTGGAAAGTTTTCTGCAGAAGAGTGCATCAAAATCTCACAACTGTGGAAAACATTAAGTTTATTTAATTTTCCTGCTTGATTATTCTTCTCCCTGAGTTGTCCAAGATACTTCCATTTGTATTGGTTTTTCTTGTCCAAGTTCTTCCCCATGGTTCTGAAGGTTTCAAGTATGTATTTAGCTGACTTGCTATTTATCTGGTTTACAACAATGTACTCTCTCTGACAGGTCCAGCTCCCATGTATCTACTGAGAGAGATATGGTTCCCATATACAGCATCTTCAGAAGATCTCACTGGAGTTTATCGCAGTCCTGTCTGAAGGCAATTTTCTTCTCTCTCATCTTTAGCCTTTGGCCATTAGGCTCAGATGATATTTCTTCCAATATAATAATAATCTTGCTGTAGCTCCTTGGGAGGATTTACCTCATCTTCGAGTCAGTCCTATGTTTCTTCCCAAGAATACTTTTGGAGCTGGATGTTATCACCTGGATATACCAAGTCAGTGTATTCTTCTGAATCTCTGAGTGGAAGGATATGTTTCCAACTCTTTCAGACTTTTTTTTTCCTTCTCCTTCCCATAGTAACTGTGGTAAACTAAGCAAATGTTATTTTATTGTCTGGAGTTCCAGTGCAAATTGTTTTAAAAGTCCACAGTTCTGCCTAGCAGATGCTTTGAAGAATTTCAAAGCACATTCTTAATCTATGAAGAGCCCATTGACTTTCGTTGGATTGGAGTTGGAACAAGAGGCACTTTTGCATTATGGTTGAGTTAGATCCACATAAAGATGGTAAAACAAAGCTATATTACCCTTCAGTAACTAGTATTAACAAAATGTATGCAATACATTTTAAAACAAAAATTATACCTTACATAACGTTTATTAAATGCCCGATGACTACTTAATGATCACTTTTAAGAACATGAAACTTTGCTTGCAGAATTAGATCTAGTTGGAACGGAAATGATTGTAAACAAGACATGTTTTTTCATTGTGAAAGCATTGCATTCCCATGTATGGATATGTTAAGTATCTAATTACTGAGGCTGCCTTTAGTTCTGTAATTTTTAAAAAGGCACCCTTAATTAAACAGAAAAAAATATTAAAGTGTGGTAACTAAATTTTTTTATGATTTTCTCCTAAGTCTGAAGGTGGCTTTACTAAGAGTAGCCGGTAGAGCTGTGAATTGATCCAGCCATCCAAGTGATGAGACGCTGAAACCTTAAGACAACAATTTCCATTTCAACAGTTTTAACAAATTTGATTGCTCATCATTGTGGCAAAAATAACCAGGTAATTTTGTTTG